CGAATAACATTTTTTCTTATCGGACTCGAGTCCGAATATGAAATTTTTAAATTCGGACTCGAGTCCAAATATGAAAAAATGTTATTCGGAGTCGAGTCCGAATAATAACGGCCTTACTTTTATTGACCAATCTCAATCTCATGCTTATATTATTTTTTCCTGTTCATTTTTTGGAAGTGATTATTCACACCGTGCGCATAAGAATTAATTTTATTCACTCCGGGTGGGCGAATAAAATTTTTATTTGCACAGGGTCGAGCCTACGTTGATTTTGGGCCTCGTTTGTCACACCCGGGTAGCCCACCTTTTGGCAAAGGCTTTAAATGTTAAAACAACAGTACACTAGTATAATATCATACTTGTATCAGTTTTAGGGTTAAAGAGTGCACTCTCTCTCTCTCTCTCTCTCTCTCTCTCTCTCTCTCTCTCTCTCTCTCTCTCTCTCTCTCTCTCTCTCTCAAGGCGCAAGGAAAACAAAAAACGAAAAAGAGAGATTTGAGTCATTATCATTTACACAATACACTACTTGAATTCCAATTGAGTGGGGATTTTTTTCGTGTGGCATTGCACAATTAGAACTAGATCTATCCCTACCAAAGATAGCACATTACAAGATTGTTCACTCAGCCCGAAAAGTGTTCGCAGAAGTCCGTGCATTGCTTCAGATGGCGCTGGAGTCTTTATTTCGAAGCTCTCTTTCGTTTCTCCAGAAGAAGAATAGGATAAGCACAGTCTGTTAATTTCACTTGTATTGTTTTTTACACAAGTAGGGTAACTCTGATCGTAAAGTCCACAATTTTTCAAAGAGGGCGCAAACGAATTTTGAGGACACTTTTTTAATTGGCTCAAATAGAGGAGTGAACTGTATACGTGATCTTTGTCCTTACCTGAGGAGGGGAAAAATGAGGAAATGCTAGGCCTAATTAATTTCCACTGTTCTTTTGAAACGCCTACGCCAATAATATTTTGCAGTATTCACACACCCTGTGCGAATATAATTTCATAGTATTCACACACCCAATGTGAATAACATTTCGCAGTATTCCCACAGTGTTCACACACCCTGTGCGAATAAAATTTCATAGTATTCGCACAGAATACAATTCCATAGTATTCACACACCCTGTGCGAATAACTACAGCCCAATTTTTTATCTGCTTTAAATTAAAACACAAATTTTGACTTTATTACATTAGTTAATGAGATGTATGATTTTTTTACGAACTATATTACAGTAGTCCCTATTGTGTAGGAATATTTCACACTTCATTTTAGAAACTTGGGGGTTCACCATGATTTGATGTTTCACAATTTTTGATTTTCTTGATTCCTACTGATTTGTGTATCCCTTTATATTATATTTGTGAAAGTTTGTCACTTTGGCCGCCTAAAGCTTCCGAACTACTTAACTTTCGAATTTGACAAAATTAATGGTGGTTCAGAATCATTTAAAGGATGCACAGTTTTATTAAAAAGCCTGAAGTCACTGTAGTTTAATTTTCAGTTTTTCTTTAGTTTCGTTTAGATCTAATTCGACAATTTGAGGAAAGTCCGTCTTCTAAGACGCCATTGTAAACAAGTGAGGTTTCTGTTCTCTAGCCGTGTGCACTGTTCCACAATGACTTGACTATCGATTCTTTTAATTCATTTCATCGAAAGGGGGCCCTGCTAGTGTTATTATTTTTGTGTGTTCTGCAGCAAACACAGTGTATCTGTATGCGGGTGCAAAAGCAAAATTTTACCTACATTTTACTTTGTTAATTTTGTGTAGAACTCCTTCATAGTCTGTTAGAATTTTACACTTTTCCTTGTTATGATTTAAGTTTTTTCTCCTTGTTGTTGGTAATAAAATGACTTTAAATATTTTCTGGAGCTCTCTAATATCACATCACTTTTGATTGTAGATGGGCTTTAAAAAAATGTTTGTTGAGGGAGAGAAATTTCAAATGTGACTCCCCCCCTGTTTTGTCTGGAAAGGTACTGCTTTATATTACAAGTTGTTCTAGTGGTAACAATGAGGGGGTAAGCATAATTTTTTTTCTCTCCAGAGAATCATATTTTCTTGGCTTAAGTCCTGACCTGATGTATAAAGTTGACCACTTCTCTAGTTTTGACAGAAAGAAGAGCTGCTGCAGCGCATGATTCAACTTCACTTAGCCAAAATTTTGTCCATTAATGATTCTCCATATTTTTGTCACCTAAGATTATTTGACTGTTGTTTCTTAATCATGTGCTTAAAGCTCTTTTTCTTTTAAAAGTCAATTGATTTTTCATTTGAGGCAGTGTTGCTGATAAGAACTTTCTTGTTCTCCCTGTTCCACAGCTCCAAATTGGCCAACTTATTTGGCATGGACAAAGCCAGTGGTCAAGGTGGCAACGAGTCCTTGACCTACACAGCTCCCAAACAGCCAAAGAAGAAAGGTTTGTAGATGGAAAAAAAAATTGCTCTTGTCTTAGAAGCTAAATAAACGAAGAAAGGTTAATCGGTTAATTTGAAGAACACTGCTTCATATTTTTGTAAATAACGTAAATATTTATGCCTCTCAAAGAAATTAAAAACCGTATACAGTCGAAGCTGTGTAAGACGGAATCGCAAGGGAGCCTGAAAAAAGTTCCGTCTTAAACTTTTTTCGCCTTAGACAGTGGAATGTACTGGGGTTCAAAGGCCCAGCCGGTGGGATCAAGGGTCGCTTGACCGGTCAGCAAGCAATCACAAGAGGTGAAAACTTCACACTTCTCAGCTGCTATCCTCTCTGATAATGACATGTGTCAAGTCTTATTTATCCAATTACCACCAGTGCTTGCATTTCATTGGACCACTGTTTGACCTGTTAAAAACAGAAACGTTTGAACATCTCTTTTGCTTCCACCCTTAGCCCCGCACATCGGTGTAACAAGCACTGTCAACCGATGCCACCCCTCACTGCCTTGTAACAACTACTCGAGGAACTCTTTTCTTGGCTGGCTGTATGATCAGGGCGGCAGGCATTGGTCACACCTCTGGCCTCTGGCTACCAATGAAAGTTTCCGTGATGGAGCGCTACTCGAGCTCTTTCACTGGCAATCGTGAGATTTCACACCCACACCATCTTGACCATCTGCATCGCTCAGGGCTCACATAGATGGGGTTACATCTACCCTCAAACTGCACCCCTACTCCCCTTCCTCGCTCGGCAGCATAGCGGTTTAGAGCCGGCGGACAGAACCGAACTGGAGAGTTTTGTTTCAAATCAGGACTGAAGGGGCAAAACATTTGCATTTTCCATCTTAGACTGGTAAAACCCTCGGAAGGGAGCGGATTTTTCTTTCTGTTTCTGCGTTGGACAGGTTTCCGTTTTATACAGAGAATTAAAGAGGAATATATCAAGGGGGGAGTGGGGAGATTCCGTTAAGACAGGTTTCTGTTTTACACAGGTTTCCGTTAAGAAAGGTTCGACTGTATATCAATATTAGAGGTAATTATACAGATTGCTGAAATTAAAATACCTGACTTCCAACATTTCCTTATTTTTACACTAATATTTTTATCCATGAAGATTCAGTATTTCATCAGAACTGCCAGTACGTGATGGTAAAAAAAACATTTATTCCTGATTTTCTTACTTTTGTTCTACTTTGTGCATTTCAGTGATAACATCTAGTGTGGGTCTGATGGAAGTAAGGCAAATGCAAAAATATGTCTGTCAGTATGTATGTATGTGTGTCTGTCTGTCCTCAGAACAAACACAAGACTCTGGGGCTCCTGCAGTGGTTGTTGCTGTTGTTGTTCAAGCATACAAGTAGTAAGTCTTATAGCTTGTTCACTTTCGTGTGATTGCGTTAAAAAAAATTCTAGCTCATTGAGGAATTTACCTATGCCCACGAAACTTTGCATGGCATTTCTGCAGGCCAGTGACCAAATAAAAATATTTTAAAAAAAGAATCTTGACCCAGTAATGAAAAAGTTTTTCTTTTTGGTCCTGTATTAAAAACCGCTCTTTGGATGCACACACAGGATCTCTAAAATAAATGAATTACAGTAGCCTTGCCTACAAATTGTTTATTTTGAGACAGTGACACCACCGTGTCCCCCACATTTCAGTGAAAGCTTGTAGATTTCATCCTCCAGCTGTCTAGACGTCTCCACGTGAGTCTTGAAAAATACTCACCCCGTCTCTTGAATCATGTTTCTTAGGCGAACGTTAAAGAGTGGTGTTGAGGAAATATGTCAACGTTTGAATGTTTTAGGTGTATGCTGTAAATTCCCTATTATTTTTTTTACCCGCTTTAGGCTTACATCAAAGAAAACATGTCGTAACCTTATTTTGCAGTGACTGCTATGAATGGGCTTTTAGATTCTGCTGGTCGCTTAACTTTTAGACTCGCATGCAAAGACCCAGAAAGATTAAACAGAGTGATTTGTTTGATCCAGTTTTAACCTCCATCAGACGAAAGTGAACGAGCTATGCCTGTTGTTGTTCAAGCATACAAATAGTAAATCTTTACCTGTGTGAGGGGGTTGGGGAAGGCTATAAATGGTAAACCCAATTTCTCTTCTTTCCTTTTGTTGCTTCTGCCTATCTGTCTTGATTTTTCGCTATATTCAGGGTCCCCACAGGGTCGGGAAATCGGGAAAAAGTCGGGAACCTTGAGATGGGTCGGGAAAAAGTCGGGAATTTTGTGATGGGTGGGTAAGTCGGGAAAGGATAGGGCCTGTGTAATGTGTAGCTATCTAGACTGTATGGTTGATAAATCCTGAAGAGGAAACGTAATTGAACCGCTGTGATGAAAGTGTATGTGTGACACTGAGGCTCGATCGGGAAGAATCAAGATCTACTTTCGCTTTCGTTACCGCCCAGAAATTTTCGGG